GGCAATTGGGACAACATTCTACCGCTCCTTTCTTACCACCTCGGCCTTCACATTTGTCGCAAATCACATTCTTTTGCAGAGCTAGTTTTCTTGTTGCACCATTATATAAATCTTCTAAGGTTACAGAGAGCTGATGCACAACATTTTTACCTCTCCTCTCTCTCTGCATCCTTCCTCCTCCTCCAAAAAACATATCAAAGATGTCCATGGGGGATCCAAAACCACCACCTGCTCCACCTTCTTTAATTGTCTGTTCTCCTCCTTTGTCATATAATTCCCTTTTCTTCGCATCAGAGAGCACTTCATAAGCTTGAGAAATCTGTTTAAACTTCTCTCCTTCATTTGGATTCTTGTCAGGGTGGTACTTCAAAGCCAATTTCCTGTAAGCCTTTTTCAATTCTTCCTGGGTGGCATTGGGTTTGACCCCCAAAACATCATAGTAAGTAGTTTCTTTCACCATTTTCTACAGCCGGTGAGGGGGCCGAGGCCGGTGTTGGGGAGCGGGAAGGAGCGCGTTGCTGGGCGCAGCTCGGGCAGCCGCCGCTCCTCCGCTTTTCAGCGAGCGTTCTGGAAAGTTCCGCCGAAGAAAATATTATTAAGAAAATCATAAGGATATATATAAAGTCATTATATTTTATATTTAAAACTAATACACTGTTATATGTCAATTATATTTCAAGAAGAACTGGATATCTTTAAAAAGCATAAGGAAGAGGGGCGCCTGGGTGGCGCAGTCGGTTAAGCGTCCGACTTCAGCCAGGTCACGACCTCGCGGTCCGTGAGTTCGAGCCCCGCGTCGGGCTCTGGGCTGATGGCTCAGAGCCTGGAGCCTGTTTCCGATTCTGTGTCTCCCTCTCTCTCTGCCCCTCCCCTGTTCATGCTCTGTCTCTCTCTGTCCCAAAAATAAATAAAAACGTTGAAAAAAAAATTGAAAAAAAAAAAAAAAAGCATAAGGAAGAGAAAATGCATTTACAATACTGTGCTGTGTTTGTTGAAAAAAAAATCCATAAGTGAAACAAACTTCATGAAGTTGGGGCTTTTTGTCTGTTTTGTTCCCTGTTCTTGGGATTATATCCTTTTGAACAGTACTGCACAAACTTTCACATGCCCAGGAATCCTCTAGGGATCTTTCTAAAATGTAGATTCTAATTGGGTAGCTTTGGGATAGGACCTGAGAATCTGTATCCCTAACAAGCTCAGGTGGTCCACATCTGGAATAGCCAGGCTGGCATCCCTGTGGATCTCCACCTACAAGCAGAGCCACCAATTGTTTTCTTTCCAAAGCCAAGTTCAAACTCCCAGGGCTGGATTGATGATATCAGAATCATGTGGGAGATCTTTCCGCTAAATTCCTGGGTGCCTACCTCAGAGGCTGTGAGTTAGTAGGTCAGAAGTAGGGCCTTGGAATCTTGTTGTTGTTTCGTGGGTTTGTTTTTGTTTTTGTTTTTGTTTTTGTTTTGAGAGAGAGTGTGCACATGTGTGGGGGAGGGGCAGAGGAGAGAGAGAGTATCTTAAACAGCCTCCAAGCCCAGCACGAAGCCCAACAGGATGTTCAGTCTCACCACTGTAAGATCATGACATGAGCTGAAATCAAGGGTCAGATGCTTAACCCACTGAGCCACCCAGGTGCCTCAGAATCTTGTTTTATAAATCTCACCAGGTGACTGGAATGTGCAGCAGCCAGAATGGGTAACCACTAATGTAGAGAAATGAAGAATTCCTTGCATGTACAGATGTGATTCTGATTTTGCCAAATTGTCAGCTAGTGAGTACAGAATGAAAATTGACGTCTTGATTGAATATAAAAAAATTCTCTTTTCCTCATTTGCATCATTTGGTTGGCCTCCAAAAGAATCTAATGATTTCAACAGAGAAAAAAGCAAACTGTGTATAATCAACTCCGAATATACCCATTCATCCCTTTAAAATTCTGTTTAGTATTATAAAAATAACACAAGCACATGGTAAATAATTCAAACAGTAAAAAGGTATGCAAAGAAAATCAGGCTCTTCCATCCCGGATTTCCAGTCTCATTCCTTGGAGGAAATTATTGTTAACTGTTTCTTGTGAATATTTACAGAAACTTTTTAAACACACACACACACATACACACACACACAGACGGAGAAATGTGGGGCACCTGGGTGGCTCTTGTTTAAGCATCTGACTCTTGATTTTGGCTCAGATCATGATCTTGTGGTTTGTGATATTAAGCCCCGAATCGCGCTCTGTGCTGACAGCACGGAGCCTGCTTGGGATTCTCTCTCTCTCTCTCTCTCTCTTTCTCTCTCTGCCCCTCCTCAGCTTTCTCTCTCTCTCTCAAAATAAATAAACATTAAAAATGGTTGGGGGGGGGGGGTATGACCAAACACTTTGTGCCAGGCCTTTCCTTATCAGTGTGTATCTTGGTTAGCTACATAATGCCTGTTGTATTTTCTAAGATGGCTGCAACCCTTAGATGCCCCTGATATACCTCCCACTGAGAGGTGGGATTTATGATATGTTACTTTGAATCTGGGTGGGTTTGTGACTATGTTGGGAGTGACACTAAGTCACAATCAAGGTTAGATCATTAAAAGTGATACAACTTCAGGGCACCTGGGTGGCTCAGTTGGTTAAGCATTCGACTCTTGATTTTGGCTCAGGTTGTGATCTCACAATTTGTGAGTTCAAGCTCTTCATCAGGATCTGTGCTGACTGTGCAGAGTCTTCTTGGGATTCTATCACTCCCTCTCTCTCTGAAACCCCCTCTCTCTTTAAAAAGAAAAAGTGATACAACTCCCATCTTGTCCTTTGGGATGCTCACTCATGGAGCAGTGACCAAGAGAGACCACATGAGAAGCCATGTTTAGGTTTTCTGGCCTATAGGCCTAGTCTGGGCCAACATCTAGCATCAACTTCCAGAAATGTGTGAGACTGAAAGAGTATTCCAGCCTCCAGCTTTAGGCCACTCCAGCACAAAGCAGAGATGAGTTGCAAAAAAATTGGAGACAAAATTTCCTGATTCTATTTAAGGGCAACGCAACAGAAGTTACAGGAGAATGCTATAACCTGAGTGTCATTTGTAGGTATTCTTGAGTCAGTCATTTTGTATGAGTATGGTAGGTTAGGCAAAGCAGCAAAAGCAAACAAATTTCACATCTTACAACTTTACATCATCAGTGTTTGTTTCTCACTTGTATTACAGTTCAAGGAGGAGCTGGTGTCTTTCCTCCACATCATGATTCAGGGATCCAGTTTCCTCTCCTATGATGGCTCTTCTGCCTTCAAGAGCCTTCTTGGAATCCTTTACTGTATCCTCTTCATTTAACTGGCCTATGAAGAAAGAGAGTGTAGAGGATCACAAAGGAAATTGCATAGTTTGGCCTTCAGTAAGTTCTATTACTTCTGCCCACAATCCCCTGGCCAAGATCCAAACATATGGCCCCATCCTAACTGCAAAGGAGTCTGGGAAAGATAGTCTTCTTGAGCACTCAGGGAGAGCATCTAGCTAGTTTCTGATACATAATGCCTCAATTTGCTCTCTGTGGATGAAGATAATAACAACAACCTTAGGTAGCTGTGAGGACCAAAATGTAACAAGTTATCTCTGAAGTAGTTGAGAGGGCTGTACACGTTTTAAGTATCATGATGTTTAAAGTACCTGAGATGATAGACACTTTACACCATAATTCTGGGATCCCTGTGGATAATGGACAACAATAAACCATTGCCCCTGCCCCAGGCCATCTTATATCTAAGTACTGGCAACCATTGCCCTAATACCAACAACTGCTTCTCCCTGAACAAACAATATATTATACAAAGCAGCTCACTCACATGTTATTCAGACTCAAAGAAAGAAATATCAGGAATGTAGCTGGTTCCTCACCAGGCAACACTCAAGTGGGACATTAAGCAGATATGCACTTGTTCTTTCTGTCTTTGGTTTTGTACTATGCTCGTGGCTACCCAGGCTCTGTTTCCATAGCAGCATATAAACTTCATATAAACAAGAGCAAGAGAAAGGTTAAGTAAAAGGAGTTGAAAACAAATAATGTCAACTCTCTTAGCTTTGGTTGTCCACAAGGCTTTCTTGTCCACTTCTTCAGTAAGGTACTTAAATTTGGGGAAGCCCAGTTTTTTCATCTGTACAATGGGGATGATAACACCTGAGCTGCCTAGCTTAAGCACTTTGGAGAGGATCACTTAAAGAAATGCTCTGGAGAGGGCTTTATGAACTGCACAAACTGTATACGATAAAGAGATGAGCAATGATGCTTCTCCTACTATTGCCTGAGAAGCAGTGGGCAACAGCCGTACTGTGCAACTCTAAAAATTCACAACCATTTTATGGTTTATAAATTTTCTGTATAAAACTTGGAAAATACAGGAAGGTATAATTATAGCTTCTGTTATTGAGTAATTTCTGTGTCTAACTGATTCACCTCATGGGATGGGCAGTAGGATCCTGTCTTCCTGCTTGTATAACAGACAGCTGAATGAACCTATTATATTTGAGGTACTTAGGCTGCTTGCTTTAACTGTTTATTTCCAAAGCAAACAGCTCAGCAGTTTCACAACATGTGTCAGGGCCTGGAAAAAAGTCCATTTCCTTTGACCATATATGTTTCTTCCTAAGAATCTTTCCTGAAGGGATAATCCTAAGCACAGCCCGGATTTATGGCCAAAGATCCAAAAATGGCTGCTGCAGGGTTATTTACAAAAGTGAGAAGTTGAAAATGTAAACATGTGTCATTAAAGTAATGATTAAATAGATCATGGAACATTCCTGCAGTAGAATATTATGGGATTCCTTAAGAATAATGTTTAAGTTTTACTTTTAATTATGTAGGAAATGGCTTATTACATAAATATTCCAAGATGGTGGATGCTATATAGAATTTCATCTCCACTGGGTTCAAAATGCATGAAAACATGATGGAGGAAGACATAGGTCAAAAGGAACTGTATTGATTCTGGATGGTAGAATTATGAGAAACTTCTTTTTTTGGTGCATTCTCTTCCCCCACCACACACTTTTCTGTAGTACTTTTAAAAGTTTCTACATGGAGCAAGATTAGAAAAAATAAAGTAAAACACTGAGTTAAGTTTAAAATTCTGCAAATTCCTCTCGAATGGACGTTCCCTATTTTGAATCCATTTGTCTCATTTGTTTACAGTTTCATTTGCTTTTTCTTATAAATGCTTATATAGCCATTGGTGCCATTAGCACTAGGTGAAATTCAATGCCAAATATGTAAAAGCTGGAGCCAGCCACTCACAAAGCCTTCATCTGCTGAGCAGATCTTCAAAGGAACTGAGAAGTAAGGGGTTCTCATATTGAATTTCCACCTTCAGGCATGGGTCAGAAAGCACAATCAAATGTTTTCCATAATGGCAAGTGTATCTTTCACAAAGAAGATTAAGAGGAAAAGGAAGTATTAACGTGGATCCAATTATAGCTGTAGCCTGTTGGAGATTAACCTCCATGAAAAATCAGGTCAATTTAGAGAGGACAGGTTTGCTGAGGATGCAAACAGATTCGATTTCCTTTAAAACTTGATAATCCCTGTGAGAAAGGCTCAGGGGAGTTCC